ATCTATCTATCTATCTATCTATCTATCTATCTATCTATCTATCTATCTATCTATCTATCTATCTATCTATCTATCTATCTATCTATCTATCTATCTATCTATCTATCTATCTATCTATCTATCTATCTATCTATCTATCTATCTATCTATCTATCTATCTATCTATCTATCTATCTATCTATCTATCTATCTATCTATCTATCTATCTATCTATCTATCTATCTATCTATCTATCTATCTATCTATCTATCTATCTATCTATCTATCTATCTATCTATCTATCTATCTATCTATCTATCTATCTATCTATCTATCTATCTATCTATCTATCTATCTATCTATCTATCTATCTATCTATCTATCTATCTATCTATCTATCTATCTATCTATCTATCTATCTATCTATCTATCTATCTATCTATCTATCTATCTATCTATCTATCTATCTATCTATCTATCTATCTATCTATCTATCTATCTATCTATCTATCTATCTATCTATCTATCTATCTATCTATCTATCTATCTATCTATCTATCTATCTATCTATCTATCTATCTATCTATCTATCTATCTATCTATCTATCTATCTATCTATCTATCTATCTATCTATCTATCTATCTATCTATCTATCTATCTATCTATCTATCTATCTATCTATCTATCTATCTATCTATCTATCTATCTATCTATCTATCTATCTATCTATCTATCTATCTATCTATCTATCTATCTATCTATCTATCTATCTATCTATCTATCTATCTATCTATCTATCTATCTATCTATCTATCTATCTATCTATCTATCTATCTATCTATCTATCTATCTATCTATCTATCTATCTATCTATCTATCTATCTATCTATCTATCTATCTATCTATCTATCTATCTATCTATCTATCTATCTATCTATCTATCTATCTATCTATCTATCTATCTATCTATCTATCTATCTATCTATCTATCTATCTATCTATCTATCTATCTATCTATCTATCTATCTATCTATCTATCTATCTATCTATCTATCTATCTATCTATCTATCTATCTATCTATCTATCTATCTATCTATCTATCTATCTATCTATCTATCTATCTATCTATCTATCTATCTATCTATCTATCTATCTATCTATCTATCTATCTATCTATCTATCTATCTATCTATCTATCTATCTATCTATCTATCTATCTATCTATCTATCTATCTATCTATCTATCTATCTATCTATCTATCTATCTATCTATCTATCTATCTATCTATCTATCTATCTATCTATCTATCTATCTATCTATCTATCTATCTATCTATCTATCTATCTATCTATCTATCTATCTATCTATCTATCTATCTATCTATCTATCTATCTATCTATCTATCTATCTATCTATCTATCTATCTATCTATCTATCTATCTATCTATCTATCTATCTATCTATCTATCTATCTATCTATCTATCTATCTATCTATCTATCTATCTATCTATCTATCTATCTATCTATCTATCTATCTATCTATCTATCTATCTATCTATCTATCTATCTATCTATCTATCTATCTATCTATCTATCTATCTATCTATCTATCTATCTATCTATCTATCTATCTATCTATCTATCTATCTATCTATCTATCTATCTATCTATCTATCTATCTATCTATCTATCTATCTATCTATCTATCTATCTATCTATCTATCTATCTATCTATCTATCTATCTATCTATCTATCTATCTATCTATCTATCTATCTATCTATCTATCTATCTATCTATCTATCTATCTATCTATCTATCTATCTATCTATCTATCTATCTATCTATCTATCTATCTATCTATCTATCTATCTATCTATCTATCTATCTTCCCCGTTCAGCTCCCCTATGACCGTCCCCTTGGCGAGTGTGGGCAGGACCTCGCACGTGTCGCCCTCGCAGCTGGTGGTCTGGAAGGGAGGAGGGAAGGGGGGTGGAGTGAAGTGCTGGGGGGGGACGTTGGAGAGTGTTGGGGTGTTTGTTAAGGGGGGTGTTGGGGGATTGAAGGGGAGAAACTGAGGAGTGTTGGAGGAGTGTTGGGGTGTTTTTTAAGGGGGGTGTTGGGGGAATGAAGGGGAAACTGGGGGGGGTGTTGGAGGAGTGTTGGGGTTTTGTTAAGGGGGATGTTGGGGGAATGAAGGGGAAACTGGGGGGGTGTTGGAGGAGTGTTGGGGGTTTGTTAAGGGGGATGTTGGGGGAATGAAGGGGAAATTGGGGAATGTTAGAGGAGGGGAGTGTTGGGGGAGTGAAGGAGGGAGGGAATGAAGGGTTGAGGGAATGAATGGGAAATTAGGGAATGTTGCACGAATGTTGGGTGATGGTTGAGTGAATGATAGGGAGATGTTGGGGGAATGAAGGGGAAACTGGGGAATGTTGCACGAATGTTGCAGGAATGTTGGGGGATAGTTGAATGAAAGATGTGGAGATGTTAGAGGAATGTTGAGGTATGCAAGTGGAATGTTGGGGAGCTGTTGAGGGAATGATAGGGAGATGTTGGGGGAATAATAGGAGGTTATTGGTGGAATGTTGGGGAACATCCTCGGCATGTTGGGGATTGTTGGGGAATGTTGGGGGAAAGTTGGAAGAAAGTCAGGGAATGTTAAGAGAATGTTGGAGTTGATGATGAATATTCGGAGAAATTGATAGGCAAGTAAATGGATGTTTGGGTAAACTGATGGATGAACTGAAATTTAAAATGGTAGGGGTATGGATAAGCAGATGGTGAGTGTGTTGATAGGATCATGGACAAGTATGTAAATGAGTTAATCTGATTCGAGATACGTAGGAAAATTACTAAAAAAAGAATATAGATGAAGAGGTATATGCGTAAAAGAGGGTATAGACACGTGGAAAAATCAATGATAATCCAATATATGTGTAAACGATAATTAAATAAGAATACGTAAAGAAATTATTAAGATCAACGTCAGAAAAAAAAACTTGATACGATAAGAAATTAATTGAAAACTTAAAGGCTCTTGTGCAATAAATTTTTAAAATACCATTTTATCATAATCTTCTCTGGCGTCTCACATATCCATGTAACCTTTTAGATTATCGTGACATTAAGTAGAAAATAAAAAGAAAAGAATAAAAGAAAGTAAAAAAAAAAAAAAAAAAAAAGAAAGAAAGGAAGAAAGAAAAAAGAAAGAAAGAAAATAAAATGGTAAGGGAAACAATGACAGAAAGAAAATAAAATGGTAAGGGAAACAATGACAGAAAGAAAATAAAATGGTAAGGGAAACAATGACAGAAAGAAAAAAATAAAATAACACACGAAGAATGAATGAAAGAAAGAAAAAAAAACATTAAGAAAATAAAAGAAAAGAAAAGGGAAAAAAATACTACGACCCGACCTACAAAAAACCCACCGACGACCTTGCAAGCCAACAACAAGGTCACCATTTTTGCAATAAGGTCGTTCCCTAAAGCACTGACCTCGCGTTCCTCTCCTACACACGGGGCGCCTCCGAACCCAGGGTGAGGGTTGTTGCAAAGCCGTGTCCTGACCCGCATTCCGAGGCCACAGGTCATGCTGCACGGTGACCACTCGCTCCAGGAACCCCACGCGCCGTTCACTGAAGAGGAACAAGGTCGTAGTTTTAGTCAAAAACAATATAAATACCGTTCACTGCCGAGGAAGAGGAAGATAAGTTTCAGTGAAAAGCAACGTTCACTGCCGAGGGAGATAGGTTTCAGTGAAAAGCAATGTAAGGGTCGTTCAGTGCCGAGGAAGAGGGAGCTGAGACTGCAGTGAAAACCAATATAAGTACCGTTCACTGCCGATGAAAAGGGAGATAGGTTTCAGTGGAAAGCAATAAAAGGGGCGTTCAGTGCCGTTCACAGCATAGGAACATCGAGATGGGTTTCAGTGAAATGCAATATTGGGATCGTTATGTTTCATTAACTGTGAAGGAACGGGAGGTTGGGGTTGCAGTGAAAAGCAATATAAGGGCCATTCACTGAGAAGGAACGGGGAGATGGGTTTCAGTGAAAAGTAGAGGTTGTTCACTGCCGCTCACTGTATAGGAACATGAAGATGGGTTTCACTGAAAAACAAAGTGAGTGCCATTCAGTGAAAAGCAAGTTACCGTTAACTCTGGGTAATATGTAATATGTTATTGTATTTGTAATTGTATCCATACAGTTTCTTGTTTATTCTACTATAATTTCATAATCATAGAATTATATATGGTGATATTAGAATAGTGTATATAATGATAAGATGATGATGACAACAACAATACTACTACTAATAATAATGATGATAAAGATAATAAGGATGATGATAATAATAATAATAATAATAATGATAATAATGAGAACTAGAACAAGAACAAGAACGAGGACAAGAAGAACAAGAACAAGGACAGAAACAAGAACAAGAACGAGGACAAGAAGAACAAGAACAAGAACAAGAAGGACAGGAAGAACAAGAGGAACAAGAAAAACAAGAAGAGGAACAAGAACAAGAACGAGGACAGAACAGAACAAGAACGAGGACAAGAAGAACAAGAACAAGAACAAGAAGGACAGGAAGAACAAGAGGAACAAGAAAAACAAGAAGAGGAACAAGAACAAGAACGAGAAGGACAAGAAGAACAAGAAAAAAAAACAAGAATAAGAAGGACAAGACGAACAAAAACAAAAAGAACAAAAACAAGAACCAGAAGAACAACAACAAGAGACGCACCGGGGCACTTGGCCGTGTTGCAGGCCTCGGAGTCGGTGTCGGGCCCCGTGCACGCGCGCCCGCCCTGCGACGGACCCGGGTTGTCGCACGTGCGGAACCGCCTCCTCTGGCCGCCGCCGCAGGTCGCCGTGCACGACCCCCACGACGACCACGACGACCAGCCGCCTGCGGGGGAACAGAGGGTCAGGGAAGGTCGTTTTGGGTGAGGGAGGAGGGAGGGGGGTTATGGATGGGGGAGTGAGGGAGGGGGTGTGGAGGGTAGTCTGGGGGAAGGAGGGGGAGGGAGGTGTGAGAAAAGGGGAGGGGGAGGGTGCGGATGAGGGAGGGGGAGGGAGGTGGCAGAGGTGGGGTGAGCGACGTCGGGATGAGGTAAGGGGGTGAAATCGAGAGGAGGGGAGGGGGAGTGAGGGGGGTGAGGTGAGTAAGGGGTGAGGGAGGGGGCGAGGTCGCTGAAGGATGGTGGGGGTTGGGGGGTCGAAGGGAGGGGAGGGAGAGGGGGAGGGTTCGCTTTCTTTCTTTCTTTCTTTCTTTCTTTTTTGAGTTATGGCAAAGTGGGTTATGGATGGATCAGTTTTGAGGCTCCTTATTTTGAATTAGTTCTACGGTCGAAATATACTGCTTAAATAGATCAGTTAATGGATCAATAGAGGAATTCATATCATCATTCTGAGAGAGACAGGAAAATGATAACTTTAGTGCCTCATATTTAATTAATTTAAGAAACTTTTCGGATCTCTATAATCACTATAACAATCTCTCTCTTTCTCTCTCTCTCTCTCTCTCTCTCTCTCTCTCTCTCTCTCACTCTCTCGCTCTCTCTCTCTAACAATCTTTCTCTCTCTCTATCTATCTATCTATCTTTCTCTTTATCTATCCATCTATCTATCTATCCATCCATTTATTTATACTTTCTCCTGCCTCCTTGAATCCATATATCTATCTATCTATCTATCCATCCACCCATTCATCCACATTTCCCCCTGCCTCCATGAACCCATCTATCTATCTATCTATCTATCTATCCACCTATCTATCTATCTATCCATCCACCCACCTATCTATCCACACTTCCCCCTGCCTCCTTGACCCCATCTATCCATCTATCTATCTATCTATCCACCCATCTATCTCTCTATCTATCTATCTACCCATCCATCCATCCATCTATCTATCTATCTATCTATCTATCTATCCATCCACCCACCCATCTATCCATCCATCCATCCATCTATCTATCCATCCATCCACCCATCTATCCAAACGCCCTCCTTCATCCCTCGTCCTTGATCCTTACCATTGACGGGGCACATGTCCAGGTTGCAGTAGTCCTCGAGGGTGTTTGATCCGGGGCAGTATCGGCCGCCGTTGGAGGGGGGAGGGTCATCGCACGCCCGCTCCCGCCGCCTCACGCCCCCGCCGCATGAGACGCTGCATACACTCCACGCCGCCCACGCTCCCCAGTTGCCGTCCAGCTGTTCACGAGAGGGCGTTAGTGGGTGGTTGGGGGGATATCGGTTTGAAATGAAAAATAAACAAAAAGTAAAGGTTATTAGTGAATTTTGATTTTTTTTTGTTTGTTTGTTTGTTTGTTTGTTTGTTTGTTTGGTGGGAGGAAGGTTTTTGAAAATTAGATAAGTAGAGAAACAAACACATAAATAAACAAATGAAATTAAAGGAAAGAAGAGAGGAAGAAAAGAAAACTATATTGATGAATCTGGTTCTCATTTAGACATTGGTGGCCGAGTTTTATGACTTATTAAAAAGGAAAATAGCAAAACACTCAGAAAAAAATGTACACAAAATTTCAGGCTATCTAATAATGTTGCTTTATATTTAATACGGTTATAAATTATCTTCTAGATAGTTGTATATTTTCCGAGCGGTCATGTTTGATATTATTCAAAGTGGATTCATCAGCTAATAAAAGAAATATTTACCTCACAATACAAAATACTAAATCCATTAATATATATAACCACAAAAGAACAAAACAGAACACTTTCAACCAAGACAAATTACCAGTCACACAGCAATCCACCACAACCAAACAAACAATAACAATTTCAACCAAGACAACTGGTTACACAGCCAGCCACCACACCCAAACTGCCAGCCATACACCCAGCCACCACAATCACACAACAAGCGACAACCATTCAACCAAGACAGATTCCCAATCATACAACCACCCAAGCACAACCAAACTGCCAGTCACACCGCCACCCACCACAACCAAACAAACAATAAGAATTTCAATCAAGACAACTGGTTAGCCACCATACCCAAACTGCCAACCATACACCCAGCCACCACAATCACACACCAAGCGACAATCATTCAACCAAGACAGATTCCCAATCATACAACCACCCAAGCACAACCAAACTGCCAGTCACACCGCCACCCACCACAACCAAACAAGCAATAATCAACCAGGATAAGAGCCCAGCCATAAGAACCAGACACCACAACCTACCAGACAGGGCGGGTTGGAGCAGGGCGTGACCTCGAGGCCGTCCCCCTGGCAGTGCGCCCCCCCGGCTGCAGGAGGAGGCGAGTCACAAAGACGCGTTCGCTGACGGAGGCCCTGGCCGCAGGTGGCGCTGCAGTCGGACCACGCCGTCCACTCGCCCCACCCTCCGGACACTGGCGGGGGGAAGGGTGGTCAGTTGTTTTTTGGGAGAGAGGGAGGATGGGAAAGAGGGAGAGAAAGTGAGGGAAAGAGGGGAGAGAGAGAGGGAGGGAAGAGAGAGAGAGAGAGAGAGAGAGAGAGAGAGAGAGAGAGAGAGAGAGAGAGAGAGAGAGAGAGAGAGAGAGAGAGAGAGAGAGAGAGAGAGAGAGAGAGAGAGAGAGAGAGAGAGAGAGAGAGAGAGAGAGAGAGAGAGAGAGAGAGAGAGAGAGAGAGAGAGAGAGAGAGAGAGAGAGAGAGAGACTGGCATGTTGACAAGGGGGTGAGCTCAGTTTATGTTGTTGTTTGTGAGAGTGGGAAGGAGGGAGAGAGGGAGGTGGATATCAGTAATTCTATATATTAATGCCATTGTTCATAACGTATAATCAACATCCACAAAAATCAAATTCATTTTCTCCTATAGATACAATTACAAAAAATATATAACACAGCCAAGTATCCACACAAAATGAAATTAAATTCCTTCCGTAAATAACACAGCCAGTGATTCACATATCCACACACACAAAAAAAAATCAATTCAATTCCTTTCGTAGATACAATTAAAAAGAAATATATAACACAGCCATGAATTCAAATAAAAACTTAAAATCTTAAATCTTAAATCCTGAAACAAAACCCTAAGACTACCTCCCTATGAACCCTAATCTAAAAACACAAACCATAAGAACTCAAGGACAGGACAAAGGGAGCAGACCTGGACAGTCCCTGAGGGAACAGGGCTCCTCCTCGGCGGCATTTCCATCACAGGGACGACCACCATACAGGGGGGCGGGGGCTGAGCAATACCTCGTCCTCACTCTCACGCCCGAACCACACGTCACGCTAAAGGGAAGGACGTAGTTTTAGAGGTCGAGTGTTTGAGCTTCTCCTTGATACTGAGTCGTGGAATTCGGTGAGTGGGATGTTGGATTAAGAGGTGGATATTTGGTTCAATTGAGGGTTAAGTGGAATGCTGGAATGGCTGACTGGGAGGTGGGTGTTTGGATAAACTGATGGGTGAGTGGAATGTTGGAATGGCTGATTGGTAAAGGGATGTTTGGATAATTTGATGGGTGGATGGAATGTTGGGATGGGTGATTGGTAGAGAGCGGTTTGGATAAATTGATTGGTAAGTGGATTGTAAGAATGATAGATGGATATTTAGATAAATATATGGGTGAATGGAATGTTGAAATGGTATGTATATGAATATGTAATTAAGAATAGATAGCAATACGAGATGATTTCATCGTATGATTACATATCTATTTTCGAGTTTCATTCGTTAGGGAAAATAATGAAAAGATCAGCATGAAGATCTGATCCTTCTGTTGCAAAAACATATACGCAATTGCAGTAAATTTTCCCAGTTGATTATTTTCCCATTGCAGCCTCACCTGCACTCGCCCCAAGGATCCCACGGCGACCAGTTGCCATCAAGCGGGCACGGCTGAGGTCGGCAGGGTCGGGTGTGGGCCTCGTCTCCAGGGCAGGGGGCGCCTCCGTGTCGTGGGGCAGGGGCATTGCACAGCCGGCGCCTCGTCTGCTGGCCCGGCCCGCAAGACACGCTGCACGAAGTCCAAGGGCCCCACGAGGCCCACATGCCCGACACTGAGAGAGAGATAAATGACAGTATTAAGAAATTCCGTTTATGGCATAGGCGACATGGAAGACAGTGAGAGAGATAATATTAGGGAATTCCGTTTATGACATAGGCGAAACGAAAGACAGTGAGAGAGATAATATTAAGGGATTCCGTTTATGGCATAGGCGGTACGAAAGACATTGAAGAGAGATAATAATAAGGGATTCCGTTTATGCCATGGGCGATGAGGAAATCACCATAGATGACACGATAGACGATAAGAGGTACATAATCCAAATATTAACCCATTCGCCACATGTGGTAAGAATAGATGCCATACCCACTTTGATACACGTTTATTTATTGTATTTACACATAGATGGCTCTACAAGTTCTTAATCACTAAATAGCCAGTTATCAAGAACTACCTATTTCACCTGTTTACCCCTTTCCTTCACTTTAGGAGAGGGTTTTTTTGAGTCATTTCATTGTCAAAAATATTCTAATGACAATTCAATAATCATAACATCAATAACAATAATAACAGCATCGAAAGCAAGGATATAATTTTTCCCGCCAATCCAATGAATGGGAAAATCAGGGTCGGTAACTAAGGCCTACTGATAGACTCCTTGCCGGCTGAGCACATGTGGAGCCATCTGTAGGTAACAAAATTCACCAAAAACTACAGGGGACAGAACATAAATCCGTGGCGAATGGGTTAAGGAATTCCGTTCTGGCATTATCATGGAGAGAGATAATGGCAGTACTAAGAAATTCCTATTATGGCACAGACGACACGAGAATCATAATATTTAAACTTTATCAAAATGAATAAAAAAAAATAGATATTAAAGTCGTACCTTTGACGCTGAGGTCAGCTTTGGCGAGGTCCTCTCCTAGTTCGTTGTAGGCCTGGCAGATCACGTGACCTTCGTCCTCGATCTGGGCCGCTATAAGCTACAAGGATAAAGTCGTCAGAACGTGATACTTGTACGTTTTATTTTGTTTTCCAAAGTACACGCTCTTAAAATGGGAAGAAAACGCGCATGACCATTTTTATAAATTCGTAAGTAAAAAGAAAACAATGCCTTACTGGAAACTCCCTTTTTCATATACGTAGTATATTTCATTACAATAAAGAAAAACGAAAATATTTATTTAAGGGTTGCATCCGCACCAAACAAATATCCAAACTGATATAAATTGAAAATAAAATAGAATCTACCAGTATAAAAAAGAAGGACAATAATAATAATAAAAACAATAATCATGAAATAACAACGACAATAATCCACAAAAAAATCTCCGAAAGAACCGACCTGTAGGGACCCGTTTGTGAGGCGGATGTACCTGGCGTGCATCTCCCCGGGACTCACACTCCACTGAATCTCCGGGAGCGGCGATCCCTCCGCCTCGCAGTCAAACACGACGGTGCCCCCCACTTCCACCACTGGTCGCATGGGATAAATGGATGGGAAAGTGGAATGGTTGGTGGATGTTTGGATAAATTGATGGGGAAGTGGAATGGATGTTTGGATAAAACGATGGGTAGGTGGAATGGTTTTATGGATGTTTGGATAAAATGAGGGGGATGTGGAATGGTTGGTGGATGTTTGGATAAAATGAGGGGGAAGTGGAATGGTTGGTGGATGTTTGGATAAAATGAGGGGGAAGTGGAATGGTTGGTGGATGTTTGGATAAATTGATGGGAAAGTGGAATGGTTGGTGGATGTTTGGATAAAATGATGGGAAAGTGGAATGGTTGGTGGATGTTTGGATAAAATGATGGGTGAGTGGAATGGTTGGTGGATGTTTGGATAAAATGAGGGGGAAGTGGAATGGTTGGTGGATGTTTGGATAAATTGATGGGTGAGTGGAATGGTTGGTGGATGTTTGGGAAAGTGGAATGGCTGATGGATGTTTTGATAAAACGATGGGTAGGTGGAATGGTTGGTGGATGTTTGGATGAAATGAGGTGGAAGTGGAATGGCTGATGGATGTTTGGATAAACAAGTAGGCAAGTGGACTGTCTGTATGATACATGTATACATAAGCATTTTAAAATACATGTTTTGCATATTAATGGGATTGAAAAGAATTTGTCAATGACACAAGGTTTTAAGTAATGACAAAGGAACACAAGTGATTATAACAGTCACGTAAATCTGCATACGTTAATATAAGTGCCTTATCTGTGTCGACAAACTTATATGGCTTATAGATTCACATCGCCAGACGAAATCAGATTTTACTTACACATAGCTGTTTTAATCATTCACCGACTAAGAAAAAAAAAATCTATCAACATGAATTCAAAACCCATCATTATCACTCAACGCCCACATATCTATCTAAGAAAACAGCATGAACAGATATAGTACCGACCCTTGCTGACGGGCGGGCGCGTGAGCATGGGCGGGGTGTGGACCACGAGATGGGCGGTGGCCTCTGCTGCGCCCGCGTCGTTGCTCACCACGCACTTGTACTCGCCCGCGTCTGAAGCCTGCGAGGAGTCGATCACCTGGGGGGGGGGGGGGGCGTAAGTGTGTATGAATACACAAATATAACATCACATAATAAATACATACATACATACGTGCATACATGCTTATATATACATAAATGTGTGTGTGTAGTGTGTGTGTGTGTATACATAATAAACACACACACACACACACACACACACATATATATATATACAAATATACATACATGTGTGTGTGTATGTGTGTGTGTGTGTGTGTGTGTGTGTGTGTGTGTGTGTGTGTGTGTGTGTGTGTGTGTGTGTGTGTGTGTGTGTGTGTGTGTGTGTGTTCATAGTACATATTGACATGTCCCTGTACATCAAGACTGTGTAAACAGATACATCACAGGCACGTCACAGTGAAAGATTTACAAAATAGATATTCGCATTTCCTCTCTTCTCTCTGAGCAAACTGAGCAAACATAAAGTGTGTCAATATTGCTAATAATTCGCCCTCAATTATATAATCTGAATACATTTCAGTCTAGCAACAGTATCTCAAAATGACAATATTACGTGATATAAACGTAACCTATTGTGCTGTACTTCCGTGAATACTTAAATGCATACTTAACACTTATGTTCGATATACACATACTTAATGTACAACAAAAACATGTCATATGCGTTTAATAAATATACATATGCACCATACATACACTCAAATTACGTACACAAAACATAACATATCAGCTGATCCCCTTATGGCAAAATCATTTCCCAATCAGCTGATCCCTAAAAAATGCCCACTGATCCCCAACACATCAGCTGATAAAATAATACATATTAACTGATCCTCTTACACTGATTTCCCTGGCGGATAACAACTGATGTCCTATAGTAAAATCAATTCACTATCAGCTGATCTCCTAACACATATCAGATGATCCCCTAAAACATATCAGCTAATCTCCTAACATACATCAGCTGATATCCCTAACACACAACAGCTGATATCCTTAACACATAACAGCTGATATCCCTACCACATAACAGCTGATATCCCTACCACATAACAGCTGATATCCCTAACATACAACAGCTGATATCCCTAACATACATCAGCTGATATCCCTACCACATAACAGCTGATATCCCTACCACATAACAGCTGATATCCCTAACACATAACAGCTGATATCCCTACACACAACAGCTGATATCCCTAACACATACAGCTGATATCCCTAACACATAACAGCTGATATCCCTAACACATAACAGCTGATATCCCTACCACATAACAGCTGATATCCCTAACATACAACAGCTGATATCCCTAACACACAACAGCTGATATCCCTACCACATAACAGCTGATATCCCTACCACATAACAGCTGATATCCCTAACACATAACAGCTGATATCCCTAACACATAACAGCTGATATCCCTAACACATAACAGCTGATATCCCTAACACACAACAGCTGATATCCCTAACATACATTAGCTGATATCCCTAGCACATAACAGCTGATATCCCTAACACACAACAGCTGATATCCCTAACACATAACAGCTGATATCCCTAACATACATCAGCTGATATCCCTAACACATAACAGCTGATATCCCTAACACATAACAGCTGATATCCCTAACACATAACAGCTGATATCCCTAACACATAACAGCTGATATCCCTAACACATAACAGCTGATACCCCTAACACACAACAGCTGATCCCCTAACACATAACAGCTGATACCCCTAACACACAACAGCTGATACCCCTAACACATAACAGCTGATCCCCTGTGGTAAAACCAATTCCCTCTCAGCTGATCCCCCAAGGCAAAATCCTACTACGAACCAGCGACCCGTTGTCCATGAGGTGCACCCGGTCAGACGAGTGAACAGAATGACCTTCCTTGGTCCAGGTGGTGGCGGGGGCGGGGTCACCCTCAGCGACACAGGTCAAGGTCACAGCGTTGAGTTCCAAGACGGTCATCTCTTCGGGGGCGTACATGATCACGGGCGGAACTGTGGCGGTTGGGTGTGCGAATTAAGAATCGGAAATTTTTGAATGGATGGTTTGTAATGGGTTGGTAGTGTGATTGAATCTAAATATGTAGTTAGACGGGAGGGAAGCATATAGTGATTATTCTAAAAAAAGAACGAATAAAAATAATAAAATAAAAATAATGTGTGTGTAGATATGTTTGTGTGTGGATGTGTGTGTAGATATGTTTGTGTGTGGATGTGCGTGTGCGTGCGTGTGTTTGGATGCGTGTATGGATATGTGTGTGTATGGATTGTGTTTGTGGATGTGCGTGTGTGTGTGTGCGTGTACATGTACGTATGCATGTGCGAGTGCAAGTGTGTGAGTGTGAATATTCGTATTCATAAATGTGTATTTATACAAGACTCTTACATCCAAAAACGTTGATAAAAACTTAAAACAAAAAAAAACAAAAAAAAAAAAATTCTCCACCACTTCATAATTATATTTAAACCAGCCAGCCAGCGAGCCTGACCTTTGACCCTGATGCCCGCGACGGCCTTCCTGTGACCCGCTGCGTTCTCAGCGATGCAGGTGTACGTTCCCTCGTCCGTCTTGGCCGCTTTCTCCACCACGAGGACCCCCCTCCCCCCTCGGGACTGCCCCACGCCCGCAACCTGAAATATGAATTTTTATTGTTGTTATTTGTTTATCATTTATGGTTATCTTTCGCTTATCTTCGTATTTGTTTACTGGTTTTCCGTTACTTTCAATATCTAATATTTCTTGTTTGCCTATTTTACTAATAAAATATATCAATTGCTTACAAAATTACGTCGAACACAGTCAAATTTGCAAATTCAGCATATTAATAAATAAATATAAAATACTCAAATTCGATAAATACACAAACGTATAACATCGGTAAACAAATCAACCCTTTATTAGCCATTACCTGAGTGCCATTAAGGAGCCACCTGATGGTCGGAACAGGAGTGCCAACAGCCTCGCAATCAAGCTCGAACCTGTGAGAAGCAATTAAAAGCATTCATTACAATTAATTCAATTAATTCATTAGTTATCTGCGTTAGTGAGATGAGCAGGAATCTTGTGTATAGAGAATGATTTATTTTTCTCATATGGAGTTCGAAATAAAAGTCTTGAGAAAGTAAACAGAATGTGAACTGGAGAAATCGCTGCGAAGAAGATATGTTGAATTACTTTTATTCTTTATTTTTTTGCAAAGGTCTAACGGAATTCCATGATAATCAAAACTTCAAGTACTCATTCTCACTCACTCACACTCTCTCTCTCTCTCTCTCTCTCTCTCTCTCTCTCTCTCTCTCTCTCTCTCTCTCTCTCTCTCTCTCTCTCTCTCTCTCTCTCTCTCTCTCTCTCTTCCTCCCTCTCTCCCTCCCTCCCTCTCTCCCACCTTCTCCCTCCCTCTCATTCTCACTCTCTCTCTCTCTCTCTCCCTCTCCTTTTCCCTTTCCCTTTCCCTCTCCCTCTCCCTCTCCCTCTCCCTCTCTCCCTCC